AGTCACATGAACAGAAAACGGCACTGAACTACTACAAAACTTTAAATAGGAGAAGCTTCAATAGAAAAGACCCTTGGATATGGGTTCGTTAGTTCTGTATTAATTCTGTGATAGAAAATCATGCACTACTATTAATGGTCATCCCTAAAATGAAGTATGCAGAGAGGATTATTTTGGCTAGGGTACATATCTTTCATCAAGAGGTAGATGATGACATAAATTAGATTAAGGAAAACCTTTGTCCCCAAGTACTTAATGGAATCTGTAGAACTGGCTGCTACTGAGTGCAAATAAGAAAGTCAGAATGTGGCCTAGTATACAGGTTTATGGGGTTTTTAAAATGGAATATAGGAGCTTATTTAGTTTTATGAATATATTTTTATATAGCATATTTTTTCTTTTAATATTCTACATCAAACCACTGCTGTTCTTTAAATTTGACAGTCCATAATGCACAAGTGCAATAATTTACAAAAGATAAAGGATTTGTTCTGCAAAACTCCAATCCTTACTTTAGGACTACATAAAATAGAAAGGCAGGAAATCAGTGCTCTTACTTTTCATGAAGAATAAATGTGTTTTGATGGAAAACAGACTGCTTCCTTAAAATTCTTAGCACTACATTATTTTTTTTAATCAAAAGAAAACCCAAACACCTGCATGGTGAGGGAATAAATAATAACAAAAGTCTAAGAAATGTCCAGATACAAGTTTCACAATGCAGGCTAATTACCTTCAATATGTTCACATACTTAAGTCTCCTTGTTTGATTATGTCAGAGAAATTTTCCTATATCACACTGCACAGAGAAGACCTTTGCTGCAAGTAATGTTAGAGGAAAATCTCAGGTTAAAAGCTAAGCACTACATAAATTATTCTGTCCTAAGAACCTGAGTGAACTCCCATCAAAATCAATTAAAAAAATCCTATAACCTTCAGTCAGTTGTACCACACCTTGCATAGTAGGTAACACCACCAGACTGACATCTTTATTCTCCAATTAAGGCAAAAACTTCAGTCCTCGTGACAGTCTGTGAAGTTTCTCATTTCAAATGCAATCCAGGTTTCAACCTAGATGACACTGATGTTCCAGCCCAAACCAGCAAAAACGCAGGTTTGTATTTACAAACAGACATAGGCCATTTGTGGGTCAGATTGGCATTGCCACAAGCTGAGAATGAGGCACGTGTTTAAGCGGCAAATGAGACTGATCTGCACCTCCTCAGATGGGAGTATTCGTTTCTAGTTACACTAATGCTTAGGCTCAGGCTGTGATTTGAAAACTCAACGCTTTTAGTGCTACCTGTCCTAATTCCCACCCCTTCCTTCCATTTCCCAACCGAATGCAGGCAAAATTACTGACAAAATTTCCCTGTCGGGCTGTGGCCCCAGCTCACATTAACCTGAACATAAGCCACTGGTGCCAGCGCACACAGCACACAGCGGTGGAGGACACGGCCAGAAGCATGTCTCTCAGAAGCTGTATTGCTTTTCTAAAGTGCATGTACATTTAATATAAAAAGTAAAATACCCTACCTGAGACTGATAAGTGAACATTCATCTAATTTTTTTATGCAAAACACATACTATGGAAAAGATGGTATTAAAAATTATAGCACCGAGTATTTTTTTTCCTCAAGAGAAAATCTGGACTGTGAAGTTTGAGTATAGATTCTTACTTGACAGAAATGTGGGCTTAGGTTATTTTTTGAAACTTCTCCAGTTCTTGTCCACACAGGTATTTAGAAAAAGCAATTAAACATTCAACAGTCTTCCAGTTTCCTTTCCAAATATGACATTTGTCTGGAATTAATTGCGATAAAATATGATGCAATGCACTTAATTCTTGGCCTGCATATTTCTTCAAGGCATGGCTGCATTTGTTCTTAATTTAACTGGCACAAAATATTCAACTTTTCCTGAAAAAAAGCATTGCACAAAGCCTACAGTCACACAGAATGGTAAGAGGCAAAAGGCATTCAAATACCTTTCTCAGTGGGTCAGGGGGTACGTGCTTCTTAATTTTCTATGTGCGTATCCATCAAAATGAAGGATACCCAAATAATGGATCTTTCAATGAAGATAAAATTCTGTACAATTTTATACTAATTCAAACATCCGTAAGTAATGCGACTAGCCGTGCTTATCTTTGAGTAGAATGAAGAAGCGGTATTTTTGTATGCGTTTTGAGTATTACTACTCTGTCTTTGCATGTCAGGTGTTGAATTTGGAGATATATTTTAAGTTTTTTATCCTTTTAAAAAAGCTGTATTTTAAAAATAATTCTATCTGTTAACTAGAAAATAAAAGTTGTCCACACTGAAAACATGGTCTATGCATCTCTATGTTTGGGGTTTTTTTGTTAAACTCTCCTCTTTGTGAATTTTTACTATGGGGAAATAAAGCATATTATGGAGGGATGAGCATCACGCCTCCCTTGGGTTTGTCCTTTGAGGAACAACAAAGACAAAAGGAAAAACGTGTTCTCTCTGCCTTGTGGGGATAAGACAAGAAACGTTAGGGTTAAATGACAGCTTTTACATGTAAAAGCTGTAAAGGTCATGGGAGACAGTGCAGGGACAAGATCCCAATCCTGGAGGCTTTCAGTGAAGCAGTGGGTGGAGTCGAGTCGCCCCTACCTCAGGGTTGTGGAAGGACTGCTTGAGGCCACTTTCTACCCTGTAACCTGGGATTTAATCGTATCTATATTCCCTTCCTTTCTTCAGTGCTACAGAAGCACTGGATCGAGACAATACCCCACGCAATCACACAGCATTCACAAGACGCGGTGTTTGTGGGAATGACACGAGGCGGGGAGCTCTGCTGCAGTGAAGGCTCACGGAGTCACTGGCACTTCTGCAGCACCCATCGCCAGGAATCCGCCCTTTCACCGGTAAAACCGCAGCCTGACCACCAGCAGCGGAGAGAGCCCGGTGCGGGCTGGGACTTGTCCCGATTTCTGGGAAGCCCGCTCCACACCGGCTGCCCTCCCGCCGGCGGGCAGCGCTTTGGCGGCTCCTCAGCAGGCAAGACCCTTCTCAATTGTAATGTCACCCTTCTCCGAGAAGCCGCAGCGTCGGCCACGCCTATTTCCAACCGCTCGTCCTCGCTGCGGCCTGGGAGTTGGGCCCGCAGCGGCTCCCCGCGAGTCAGGAACCCCCAGAGCCCGCGGCGGCCCGTAGGGAGGGGGCAGGCCTCAGGCGCCGCCATCTCCCCGGCCGCCGGGCCGGGCGGCAGCGCGCAGGCGCGGTGCGCACGGCACTACACCCCCCAGGGGGCAGCGGTCCCACCGCCGCCATCCCGGCAGGCACCGCGCGCCGGCCGCACCTTCCTCCCCCGGCCTTATCGCGCAGCCCGTCGGGAGCGAGCGTCCCGCCGCGATGGCGGGGCCG